GGGAAAACAAGGCAAAACCCTTAAGTAAGTAAGTAAGTATATATATAATATTTTTTTTATTTAGCAGTGGTTCGGTTCGGTTCGGGTTGAATCGACCAGAAAATTTACTAAATCGAGAACCGAACCGAATTCGGTTCTAGAAAAAACTAATCCAACCCAACCTGATTTTTTTTCAACCCAACCCATGGGTTGGGTTGGGTTGTCGAGTTTTTTGAACACCCCTACTTGCACTATATTTCCTAGTTGTGAGGGAATCGAACATATAGCACCAAACATTGCTTCTTCTTGAGTGATATTTGTCTAGTGATTGATAAATATCAACTCATGTATTCGGGATCGCAAGTACCATCATCGTCTACCGAGGATTGACCATAATAAAATCTCTACACATGTGCCACCTCACCAAATAAGGTGCAGTTTGGTCTTGCCATGTGCTATCCCGAATGTCTACGTCATGTATCCTCGATTCCCAGTTGGGCACTTCTAGGATTGCTTGTTTGATACAAAATTATCTTGTAACTTTATTTGGCTTATGCCACTCAGCTATATGAAAGCATATGAGTGGACTTACTGTACACCATATGTCATGTTCATTGGTATAGTAGTCAGGTAAGCTTGCAAATTGCTTATTATATGCAGATCATCTGAAATGATAATGTAAAAATGTGTTTAATTGTCAATCAACATATATTTATAATTTTAAACATTTAAACATGTACCGAGCCTAGTGACAAGAGGTCCAACATGTATCTATGTTGGATAATGGTCTCGTTCCGTGTTTCTTATTTCTCATTTCCTGTTTCCTGTTTATTGTTTCTAATTTTGTTAGAACTAGAAACAGAAATGCGTTTGGTAACCATTTATGTTTCTTGTTTCTTGCAAAAAAGAAATAAAAACAAAAACATGTTTCATAACTATTCCTTATTCCTTGTTTTTTTTAGTAAACACTTTGTGGGTTTGAGATTCGAACGCATGACCTCTTGACCAATGATATATATGTTAATTAAATTTGGCGTAATTTTATTTTAGTTAAAATAATTATCTTTTTAGAACATAGTTAAAATAAAATTTAGTAGATGTAATATAAAAATATATAATATATGCTTGAAGAATATAATTCATTAAAGAAAAATATAATTCACAATATAAATTTATTTGATATAAAAGTATACATTATTAGTTTTAAAGAAAGAATAAATTTTCAAGTTATTTTTAATTTAATAAATAGAAAATATTATTTTTATTCAAAAAAATATAATAGTCTAAATAAAGAATAAATGTTCAAATTATTTTTAATTTAATAAATAGACAATATATTTTTTGTTTTAAAAAGTATTATAACCTAAATATAGAATAAATTTCAAATTATTTTTATTTTTTAATTTTTTTGACCAAATTTATTTTTAATTTAATAAATAGAAAATTTTCAAATTATTTTTAATTTAATAAATAGAAAATATAGTTTTTGTTTAACAAAATATAAAAACCTAAATAAAGAATAAATGTTCACATTATTTCTAATTAATAAATAGAAAATATAATTTTTGTTTTAAAAGATATTATAACCTAAATAAAGAATAAATTTCAAATTCATTTTAATTTAACAAATAAAAAATATATAAAAAAAATTAAGATTCTGGTAGGATTAAACTTTGGCCTGAGAGAAGGAAGAAATTCAGGTGTAGGTGAGTGTCAACAGACCAAATAAATATTTTATTAACCAAAGTACAATGTATATTATTTAGACTAAACATGCTGCTAAACAATAAAATAAAGAAAAACGGAAATAGCAAAAATACGAAACTACTTTTTAGAATTTCTAAAATTTGACCCATTTTTTAGAAACGTTTCTCAAAATTTAGAAATGCGAAACAAGATGGGTTACCAAACAAGCCTGTTTCTCAAAAAAATGAGAAATAGGAAACAAGAACGTTGTCAAACGAGCCCATGGCACAAAATTGATCCCTTCATCTACAATAATATTATAGGTTAACATTAGTTTATGATATCAGTACAATAAGTAACTGTGTAAAATAATTCAATAGTTACATTGACACATCGGACAGCTAATGGTCGACGCACCAGCTTGTGATTTGAGATGTGACGAAGTTATGGAACCATCGTTTGAAACCGATTCCTAGCCCATGAAAAAGTATAATTGGACCAGCAATGTCATATGAGTAAAAGCGACATGTTTTGCACAAATTTCGATACAACCATGCTAAGCATGTTCCACCCCAACTGAAACGTCCAACTACCTCAAAATCCGACAGCAGTGGGAGAATCATCAAGTGCACCAAGTTGTTAGATTTATCGACAAAGATGCTACTACGATAAGCTACATATAATACAGGCACAAGTGTATCTGACAATGATTTCTTCATATATATCATCATCCAAGTTACGAAATTGAGAAGATAGCCAAGACAAACCCAGCTTAGAGCCTCTGATGTGCCGATCATCTGGAGTCACCCCCAGTAATGATTGGCAGGTGTCTTTCTAGTCATAATCAATGGGTCTAGTAAAGGGCTCACTATTTACTGGTAATCCAAGCTGCACCGCTACATTAAGTAGAGTGATAGTACACTCTCCATTTGGCATGTGAAATATATGCATCTCCAGCCTCCACCATTCTACAAGTGCGGTTGTCAAATTTCAATCTAATTGGATGAATCACAATCTGGCAAATTCGTAAAACACAGAAGCACGTAATATGGCTCAATCAAAGGATGTAGTGAGATGGAGCGATCAAATACTGCCTCACTCCTCATTACACTGACCTTACCAAACTAATTTTGATCGATATCGAGCTTAGGAATACAACACGGATCGATAGTAAGACCTGGATCTAACTTCGTAATCTAATACCATAAAGCATTATAGTTGGAAATTTAAATCAAAATAATGTTTGAGTAAACAAGATTCATCATATGTTTAAAAAATATCAAATTACAATTATATAAAATTATAACTAAATAAGAAATTACATCAAAATGTGATTACAACTAAATATGATTACATAACCTGCATCTTTGTTGGACACTTGGTTCTCCAATCCATCTCATTATAAATACGTGAACTTCTTGGTCTTTCAAGTAGCTCAATAAATTTGGATCCGCGGTATAGGCATGTTTGGATGGAGGATCCAATAATCTTTATATGAGATAGACTCAAATGGGGAAGTCTAACACTCAGCACACCTTGAAAGCTTGTAACAATCCTCAATATAATATCCGTAATTAAAATTTAGGTGTGAACAAACTTTCATGAAATGAGAACATGACATTGCATATGATTGTTACTTGTTGCATGGACATGGGCGTTCTTCAGTAGTTAATATCACTATTTGTATGTTCCCTCTTTTTGAATTGTAATAATTGACACGACCTAACCTAGGGCACCTTATCCACCTAGGATGTGACGTGCCGACAATAGATTCAGACTAACTTTAAGAAACCATTGTCTACTAACATGAACACTACTAACATTTGGAAATCAATAGATGGCTACAAAAATTTTGCCTATAAGAATAATAAATAAAAAATTAGCAAGGTACCCGCTGAACACTGGAAAAAACACACCTGAAAGGAATATACACTTCAAAACACCTAATTTCCAAACTACCACAAGTGTGCCTCACGACACACCAACCAAGTTATAATTCAAAAGAAATCTTAACAAAAAATGGCACATCACAAAAATCACTACAGTATGTCTATGGCTTAGTTTACAATTCACCATAACTCTCAAAATTTTGATAACGTCATTGAAGATATGCTAGCCAAAATTAGGTACAACATAACTCTAAATAAAGTAATGCATCTCCACTACATGGACATACAAAACGACATTAGATCTAGGTAAGGAACTCGGTGGCGATATTGATCACAGTAGGTTTTTGAAACTCAGGTGCCTGGTAGAATGGAAAAAAAAAACAGGAGAAAATGGTGTGCTGACAACTCTAGTGGTAGAATATTAAGCAGGAACCGAGCACCATATTTAAATGAAAATATGTATAT